CACACCCCTAGTCAGAGGCCCATGTGATAGTACACTAAATTTCATTACTTCTTGCACCGTGGTTTTTTCCATTTTTCTTTATAATTTCCACTTAATTTTCTGATTAATACTGGGCCTAGCGCGCATTGCTACCCCCACCCCCTTTTGGGCCCAGTTGGTGAATGCTTTGATTTTTATTGCTATTCAGCACACATGTTTTCCATTTTTCATCATATTTTCTTTATTTTCACATATTTCTTTTAATTCTTTAAAAATTCATAATAAATTCAAATATAGGTCTTTTTGCATGAGAGTTTTTTATCCATTCTCATAATTGTCTCAAGAAAATTATAGAAAAATAAAATTAGCATTTTAGTCTTTTTTCTATTTTTGGTTAATTTTTACATTTAATTGCTTTTATTGCATTTTATTTTGTATATCCATTTTGCTGAATTTTGTTTAGCCATTTTACTTTACATTTTGATGTGGTTCTTTTTTCTAAGATTAGAGTATAATATTAGGTTCCCCTTGGAATTTTATCACATTTTTGTGATTTAATTTTAGTTGGTTTTGAACATCAAACTTTAGGGTGCTAGAATTAGGGTTTCAACTTGACATAGGTGCATTCAACACATAGTTCTTGGGTTTTTTTAGTTTGATTTAGGCCTTGGGGTTTATGGGGGGTATAGGGTACATAGCTAGGGTCCCTTAGGAATTAATCTAGGATTTTATGATGAATATTTCCATTTGATTTGATATTTTGCAAGTTGGTTGTTGTGGATGTGTTTCCCTCTTGGGAAGTTACTTGGTTTGTTGGGTTTTGGGTCATTTCTTTGGATGTTGGGGCTTGTGCTTGGCTTGAGGATTATATGAAGACTTTTAGAATGATTGTAGACAAATGATGATGCTTGGATATTGAGTTGCTTGTGCTTGAAGATTGCTGGATGAAGGCTTAGGAGATAGGAGATGTAGGGAGAGCTCTAGAAGTAGACTGACTTCTTTTGTCAAACATAGAGAGTTTCTTGTGCCTCTATTCCATCCTATGACACAATTTCCCCTAAAAGAGTTCCATCTCTCCTTAGGAGGGATGTAGAGCATGCTTTGATTGGGTAGAACCTTGAGGATACTTATCCCTTGTTGTGTTAAGATCTTAGTGATTTCCCTGGGTTATCATTAAGCATCTTAACCTCCCAACTTCCTCTATCAGTTGATTCTCTCCTGTGAGTGTTTGCCTTGAAGATGGAAGCTTATTGAAAGTAAGAAGTTCATTGAAGATTGGTGAAGATGAAGCTTGTGCCTGTCAAAGCTGGGTATCTGTTGAAGGTTAGGGTTGTGCTACTGATTGAAGTTGTCTGCTTATTGGATTCAGTGCTTGCTAAAGCTGAAGATCATTGGAGATAAGAGCTTATTTGAAGCTTGAATATCATTGGGAGAGGAAGATAGGATCTTGCCTAAAGTTGTTATTGTCAACCTTTTGCTATAGCTGTCAAAAGCTGGTGTTGTCTGAGATGCCTGCTGTATGAGTTGGTGTGCTGTCAGAGCTGGTGTTGGATGTGATTTTCTTTGTTGTATTGACTGTTGATTTTCCCTTAGGCTTGAGGTGAAGCTGTTTCACCTTGCCTATTGCTTTACTGCATCTCATGCATATTTACTGTTTACTGTATATCTGCTGTTTCTTTTCCGTTTATCCCCTAGGATCTCTGATTTCCTCTGTGCAGGAGGGAATTATGACAGACATTAGGTTGTAATCCATGCATGATAACATCAGGGTAGTTTTGGATTCCCTTTCAAACCCTAGGATTTTTTAGACTTCTTTCTCTTCTATCTCAGAACAATTCAAAACACAGTAATAAGGATAGTCGATGTCGTACGCTACGAGCCTTAAGCTATTTGAGAAAGGTTGCTGGAGGGTCACTCTTCAGTAACCTGATTGCTTAGTGTGTTACCCTTAGGGTGACATACGACGTAGTCACCCTCAAATCATAGTCTCTAGTGCGTCAGAGATTGCAAACATCATAAAAGACAATTCTTGCGTAAAAGACTGATAACAAACATCAAAGTGTCATTTTTGTCCGCTTGGACTCTTAATCAGGAAAAACCCTTTCATAAGGAGATAAAAAAACATTCAGACAAGCTTGTGTCTTCCGTAGCCCGAACTACGTTTGCTCTGATCTTTCATGCTGTATGAAAGTACGTAGGCATAGGATGCGATATCCTAGCGAGCAACCTTCCCCTCCTTTCCCGTAGGTAGGCGAACTACGTTGACTCTGATTTCTCGTTCTAGACGGGAATACGTAGGCATAAAGTGAGATACTTTGCCGAGTCATTTATTTTCTTTTAACCCCAAACCTTTAGAGTAGATAGAATAACAATCCGTACTAGAAAACAAGCGTGGATCCCGTCGAGTACGACGGACGTGAGGGGTGCTAATACCTTCCCCTTGCGTAACCGACTCCCGAATCCAGGATTTGGTTGCGATGACCATTCCTTTCCCGTCTTTGCGTGAGGTTTACTTCGAGCGTTTCCTTTCCCTCTGTTGGGATAAGTAACGCACGGTGGCGACTCTTCTGTTTAGCCGGCGCCGATTTTCGCAGTAGCGACACTTGGGGCGGTTTTCGATTATTACTTGATGAACTTTGAGGAATCGAAACATTTGGTTGATTTGAATTCGCCATTCTCCTAGTATATCTTGTCTTTGGTCTATCCTCGTTACTGGTGGCTACTTTGTCACTTCTTAATAACATACAACGAAGTCTTCAAAGAGAAAAAAAACAACAAAACAAAATTGCAAAAAGAACACTACTAGCACAGTCCCACTGGGCGTGCCAATTTGTTTACTATGAAAATTAGTAAACAATCGTTGGTCTTTCCAAATCGAAAAAGAATTGGGTTACATACAGGATCGACCATACAAATCTTAAGACATGTACTAGTAAATATTAAATTAAAGTTTGGAAAATGGTGAATGTTTTGACAATACTCATGATCTAACAATTATCAACTTCGAAATTTAAAGGAAGTAAACTTCAGAAACTTAACCAAAAGCAATTAAATGCATTGAAAAATAACTTGAGCAGTAAAAAGATAAACTTTGTGGTAAAACGATGAAATTTGCATTAAAATGTGAAAAGTATAGTGTTTGTCTAACGTACATTTTCTCGACACACTCTTTTCACTGCACACGGATACTTTGAGTAATTTTAAAAAATTTGTACAACTGTGAACACCCCCCCCCCCCCCCCCGATCCTAACGCTAGGACCTTCTATTTATAATGATAAAAAATAACCGATCCTAACAGTCTTCCTACAAACATATGACAAATGACGCTCGATACGTTTCCTTTCCTTGAAAAAAACTCCACGTGTTTCTTTCAAAAATCTGGATAAGAACAAAAGTTTCCTCCTTTATTTAAATTCAAATCACATGTCAAAACAAAATCACAATCTTTTGTCGAACCAACTTCTAAGACTTTAGAATATTTTTCTTTAAATCTTATTCATCATATCCTCCTTACGCAAAAAAGGTAGCTTCGATCAAAACGAGCAAGTTTCACAACTTTGTCGAAACCTCTCACAACTACATGTATCTCTCTTTATTATTTCCATTAATTAAAACTATGAGTCAAATTTGAAAGCTAACAGTGATTAGATTAAAAATGGACAGAAATGGGTGTAGATGTATGAACAGTGAACATGTGTGAATAATACCTAAGGTTCGTTAAAGGTGATGGCAATGAAGGCGACAACAAATAGATCGCAATTAAGGCGACTAGAGTTTTGGATAAAGAATCGCAATTAAGGCAGATAGGATTTTAAAAAGAAAAAAAAACTACCAGATTTATAAAAAATACGACACACTTTCATATCACATACCAAAATTTTGAAAGATTCATCAAAGATATCGATAGTCTCAATTTTGTGTTTTTTATTTAATTGATAAAAATATAGTTGTGGTCCTCTTATGATATAAAAAATTCAAAACTAAATTAAAAATTTAAAAGGTTAAATATATTTGTGATCCTCCTAAAAATTTTAAATTTTATTTTTAGTTTCTCAAAATATTTTCTTCTTTAAAGAATAGTCCTTCTAAAAATTTTTAATCCTTAATACTAAAAATGTCTCTAAATTAGTTGATAAGTAATAAATTCTCACTAATTCAATCATAAAATTGTAACAATCGTTGTTAATTATAGGAGAGATAAAAAATGTGGATAAGAAAATTTAGAAAAGTCATTCTTTGAAAAAAAAATATTTTAAAGAACTAAAAATAAAATTTAAGATATTTAAGAAAATCACAAACATATTTAACGCGAAATTTAATTATTTTACTTTACTTATTTAAATAGCAAATTGAGTAAAAGGTGGTAATGTCGAGTACAGATGTGGGGTGCCCCGAAAAGAAATCTCGTCGTGTTGGGAGGTGGTGAAGGATGATGATTTGATATTTGTTAATGAATCCCATTACAATTCAAAATTACATGAGGTCATAAATGTTATTCCTTTTATCCCTGAGAAAAAATGTTGGAGGCAATATAGATCAAATTCCTATGTTAGCTGAGTAAGTTGGGAGCCGTATGTAAATTCTAACTCAACTTTGCAAAAATCGGTATTACAAGATTGAGCATTATCACCCGAGTCTGAGTTCGATCTCTAATACTTAAAGTTGAGATATGTATTCTTAAAAGTACGGGAGGGTTGGAAATAAAACATTTGAAGTTATTTAATTTATGGTTAACTAATTAGTGAGTGGAAGTAGAATTTTATTATCGATAAAGAGGAAATGCTGTACCCGTTTCTAGAATTTAAAAATGGAAGACTTATTGGTTGGGTAACCAGAACAGAGTAGTGATCAGAATTTAATGGCGCTTCTATTTTGTTGGTTGGATAACTTGATGAAAGCAAGGATGATGAGTTGTATATATAAACTGAGATAAACTAATAAAATTAAGGTGATATGATGGGAAGGTTAATGCATGAATCCAAAGAATAAAGAATAAGACAGTTGCTATGATAATAATGCTTCAAGAAATAATTTCTTTAAGGGCATCCTTCACGTATGAATATTTGAATGAGAAACCCAACTTCTTCGCTTGAGTAGGAACCACTCTTTGCCCTTCTAAAACCTACAGCGACAATAACAGTGTATGTATTTCATGGAGTTTATACTAGAAGATATATACGGATTGAGAAGATGATTACTTACCACTAAAGCACCTTCTCCAAGAACAGCCTTGAGTGCAAAGTCAGGCACTGGAAGCCACGAGGGGCGGCCCAAGACATGTCCCAACTGTTCACACAACTCTGAGAATCTCACAGGATTTGGTGCAGTTCCATTGATAACTCCTGTTACAGATATTCATAAACATGATTCAGGGAAAAGCTGACAGTTTAATCGCCACCAGAGGTTTATGTAATACAGAGAAAATGGTTTCCGTGATTATTAGTGTTGTTTACCTTTGTAAGATGGATTTGATAGAGCTTCATATATTAAATTGACAATGTCATCTAGATGAATCCAGGAGAACCTGTATGTAGGGAAAAAAAAACTAATGTGACTTCTACAAAATTAAAAACCAAACAAAGCGCAAATCACAACACATTGGCACCGTGATAATACTAAATTGAGTTTGTTAGAAATAACCATGTATCTTAACAGCATCAGCTTACCACTGGTTTCCAGAACCTATAGGTCCACCAGCAAACATCATGAAGAGAGGTATCATTTTAGCTGCAAAAGCTCAAAGATGTAATTATCAGTTAAACTTAGACAATATGATGAACTTCATAAATTTTAGATCGTTAATAAGTTTGTTTATATTATAACATACTGTTGGAAATAATAGACTTTAAATAGTAATCTTTGTACTTATTTTTATATTATAGCATGTGACCCGATAAGCAAGCTCATTAGGCTTTTAGAATTTGCTCTATTTAAATATATTAGCTTTAGTATTAGGACATAATATAGAAAAATATTAGAAACACTTTACTAGATGGTACCAGAAATAATCTAAGATCCGTTGGGTCACATGCTATAAGGTTTAAACCATCGGACCACTTGGGTCACGTACGAGATGTCTAGTCTTGGGAGTGAGGAGATGTGCGTGTTTAGTTTCATATTACATAAAGAGATAAGTCCTGAACATATGTTTATATGTTTATAAGTAGAGAGATAAAAGTAATTACTAATATTACTATTTACTGTCTATTATTTAAAACACACCATAGAGGCTAAATGGATAAGTGGTTAGAACTGGATACCTAGAGCTCCACCATCTTTACCAAGAACAACACCTATGCGAATTAGAGCCACTCTAACATCTCCATTAACCTTTAGAGCCGTTGATTCCCATTCTCTGCAAACCTGAAAAGATTGGTCGGTTTGTTGGGTGAAATCAAGAAGCTACAATTAAACATGGCAAAATGTTAAGAGAGAGGAATGTACTCATATTGACCAATATGATATATAGTACCTTCCTATCAATCTTAACCCGATTCTGATTGAAAATCTCTGTTAAATGATTATGTCCTCGCAAAAATTATTGTAAATATGATCACGTCTTTTTCAAAATATTGGAGATTATCACAATTTTTTGGGTATAATAGCCTAATGGCTGGAATTTCATCCCTTAAAGATGAATGTATAGGATGTCGTCGGTTCAAACCCGCACCCCTACAATTAGATGTCCCTACAGAGCTATCAACTAAGCTAACTTAATGAGACAATTATCAGAAAATAATTAGAATGACAAAACAAAACAGACACATGAATTAATTACCATATTGCCTGTTAGTCCATTTGTTAAGAGATTCAGCACCAACATTTTACAAAAACATTAAACAAGACAGAATACACTTGGTTTTTCTATTTTCTTAGGAGATTTAAGATCTAATACTTTTTCCTATATTAACAACAACAATTTCTTTTTACCTCAGCCAGGTAATCCTTTCCTGATGGACTTTGTTCATCAAATACTTGCGTCTCACTGGTGCCTACAAATAATGAAGTAAAAGAAAATGAAAAACTTGGTTCGCAAAATCAAGCATAGTCAAGTGGATTATAAAACATGCACCGAAAAGTAACAAATTTGTAAACCAAATCATTTAACAACCATGATCATTTTAATTAACAATAAAAAAATAATCAACCATTAGAAAACAAGTTTTGGCATATAAACATACCATAATAACCAACAGCTGTTGCACTAACCAAAACTTTGGGCCGAATATCATCTGGTGCACTTTTAATCAATTCTACAACCTAAGCTATGAAATGAATAGGTAAGCAAGAGAATAGCCAACGGTTCATGTGTGTTATCATAACAAATTTTTGAATAATTTTTCCTTAGTGGGAATTTATACTTACTTTTGAAGTCACTCTTACCCTGCTCTGCTTGATTTCTTTCTTAATCTGAAGTATTAAATGAATCATGTTCATCTTATCAGTGTCAGGGTAAAAGTAAAACATAACCACCACCTAAAAGTGCTAGTATATATCATTTAAATAATGGGAGTAATAGAAACATGGAAATAACCTCAGAAGACCATCTGGTACTTATCGGCAATCCTGCCAAATTCACAACACCTGTTGAACCCTGAATGCAATCTTTCCATTCTGGCTCCTCGGCAATCTTAACTCCTGGAAAGTCTTTTACTGAAGATACCAGAGAAGAGTTAACCGGTTTATATTTGACTTTGAGTATGCTTCGAAGAATAGGAATCATATATGAGTTAAACCCGACAACAAATATGGTAAACGAGTTTATATGAGTACACGCTTTAGCAAAATGCAAGGATTATTGCAAATGCAAATTTCTACACTGATTTATTACCTTCTTACCCGGAAAAATTAGTTCTGCTTTAGATTTAGAGCGAGTGAGGACATGAACGCTGTGATTTTCTGCAAAGATTGTTAGTTAAGAGCAGAAATTAGCTTAATCATTTCACTCAACAGCCATGAAATCTATAACATTGAATATATTTTGCAACATTATATATCAACATACTAAAAAAAACAGGTTACTATCCTGAAACAAATATAAAAGAGCCAATTTAACCTGCTTGCAGCTTTTGCACCAACCTTCTACCTATAAAACCTGTTGCTCCAGTTACAGATATGATCATTTGATTTCCCTGCAAAACCACATTAGCCGGTGATGATCTTGAAGGAACTAAAACCGCCCATTACAAAAAAACCAAAGATAAAACTTAACAATTAAATGATATTCTTAAAGTACAATGCAAATGACTAATGTAATGTTTGTTAGATATCATACTAAGCTATAACGTATCTCACGTGGAAGCTAAATTTAATATTTTGGAAGCTAAATTATAGAACATACCTTGGAGGTTTGACCAGTGCCGCACCAAACCCTAAGCCTCCTAGCCTCTCTGGTCTACAACAAAAACAACAACAACAACCAAGCCTTAATTGAATGTGGCTACAATACAAGTGAGCGATGCAATGCAACATAGCAGCAATAAAATGAAAATGAAAAAGGAAAAAGGGAAAATTGTTGAAGAATTGGAGCTTACAAAGAGGGGTTGAGGAAGGTGAAGAGAAGGACAAACGCTATGAGACCAAGTCAGAGCGGTGAATCCACTGATTTCCATTATTGATTATTTGATATGCACAGTTTTGTACAACGTAAAAACAGCTACTACTTTGCTATGCACAGTGTTGTAATGGATTCCATTAAGATTAAGATTGTTCTTGTATGGTTTCGTTTCGTGGCTATTCTGGAGCCACAGCTACCACTATTTCCATATCCACAACTAGTTCAACTATAATTTATAAGGACGAGTACATTGTCTAAAAGCACTTTTGTCCTTTGTTTTCTCTAAAACATGATTTTATTGTCTCGCTTTTAGAATTTTTTTTTAAAATACCTATAGTTTTTTTTTAAAATACCACTATAACAAAGAATTCAAAAAAAAATTTCAAAGTGGCTATAAACAAGTATTAAGGCGCCATATAAAATGATTGATGTGTGTGGACTTAAGGTGAGTCGTCATCTCATATGGTGCCACCACTTAAACTCCTAAATCAATGCGTCACACCATATGGTGATACACTTAATCTTATTTCATTTTTCTATAAATAAGATTGCACATTCATCTTTTTTTCACAATAATTTTCACCAATAGACTCAACTCTTCATGATTTTCAAATCATTCTAGAATGTTTGCATTTTTAAATCAACGTTCATCGTCTCTTCATCATCATCAGAGGAACCACTTCCAATATTTCCTCTAATGAAAAGAAATGTCTTAGTTTATTTTTCAGCAACAAAGCCTTCGATGAAGGTGCTACTGTGGAACACGCAGACTTTGGAATATTTACATAGGAAATTGAAATGCTGGCTAGAAGGAGATATTGTTGTAGGTGAAAAGATTAGGAAAATTGAGAGGTTAGTTGAGGAGTCGGGGAGAAACAGAGTTACTCGTGATTAGAGAAAAGTGGAAAATGATGTTGGGTGTCCTTATAATGATGTTAACACCAAAGAAGAAGATTACCTTGATGGTTGTAATATCTTAAACAAGTTGATGCATTGAGTTGTTTTATGTGGGTTTGTTGTTGTTATTTTCGGATTGTTATTTTGATATTAGGTTATGTTGTTGTTATTTTCGGATTGTTGTTTTGATATTAAGTTATGTTTGTTTAATTTATGTTGCTATTAGTTGTAATCGCTTAGGTATGCTATCAATGGAATGAAATTTGTTGTTGATTTAAAGGGACACTGTTACATCAGAAACTATGATCCTGTGCTTGATCCTACATTGGAACATTTTGTACGATTGTGTCCTGGTTGCCGACACGAACTACATAATCTAATCATTTTGTTTGTTGCATCCATCTACATTACTAACTATCTTAACCGTTTTGTTTATTTTGCTTTGTGAGGTTAGGTCCGCTACTAGAAGTTCAAGGAATTTAAAGATGATAAATAGCTCCTTTTTTTTTACTTAAAGATCGAGATACATTCATCTCAAATGCGAGATTTATTAAGCTTTAGTGTACTAGATCTCGGTTTTGCATATTTTTTGGTTACAGCATGATTACCCGTTTCAGATTCTTCTATTAAACTAGAGGGTGTTTCCAAACTCGTGACCTTTTTGCAAGCGTGTTTCTGATCCAAAGATTGAGACTATGGAGTTATAGAAAATAAAATAACTGGATAAAGGAAATCTCAGTTCATGCTCTACTAGTTCAATGAACTTTTCAGAGAGCTTCGCTTGTTGGAAATGGAGTTCGGGTGTTGTTACAGCTAATGCAAAGCTCTCATCCAATTGGGATGATTTCGTATAAGGTTATGATTTCAAAAAGTTGTTTGACACAATAGTAATCTGTCCAAGAAAACTTGTTCATACTCGCTCATGCGCCGTACTCATGATCGTTATCAAACAATTAACTCCCCAAAGAAACCATGTTAGAACAATAACATTCTCCATTTATAAAACCGCTATTCATTTGGTAGAGGGCGGTCACTGTTGTTTGTTTATTTATTTATGCGTATATGCTTGAAACCTGTGACTCACATTCCACACGAGGTGTTATTTGAAGTATAAAAGGAGCATTACACGGGACGCTATAATGTTGAATAAGGAGCATTACAGTGTTAAACATGCAACATTTAGTACTACGGTATTCATTACAAAGAGTGTCATAAGATAGAACCATCCTGGTTCATTAAATTCTCTACAAAACCAAAGCAAATGACAGGGTACAAGAGGAAGCAAGAGCAGAATTCTGCAGATACACAAAGCTGCCATTACAGGAGTCGGTCGACATATCGCGAGCTCGGCTTTATCTGTTAGCAAAACTCTTGAAGCATCAAGTTTTCGAGAGCATAAACCTATTAGTAAAGGCGCCGGTACTCTTGAATCGTTGCCGTTTGGACTTGATTCCTTCACGTTTGACTTTGTCTTCCTATAACCTCTAAGTGTCGCCATTGTTGTGAGGAGTTGAAGAAGATACAGGATATTGACAGGATATTCTCACGCGAAAAGGCGGCAAAGGGCTTTCTCCTCGTTTTAGTTTGGGGGTCCTACTTCTACTTTATAAACTGGTTGATCCCAGGCAATTGTACACCTCTCTTCTTCAGAACCTACAAAAAATAACCGGAGGAATCACATCAAGCTTTGTTCCTGATATGATGAAAGGAGTACCAATAGGACTTCATTGATAATACTTTAATACAACATTAGTTCAGAATTTCCTTGAGTGAGTAAGTTTGGGGGGCTTACTCTATAAGAGATGAAGGCCACAATATCGTTGAGGCCAGCCTCGTTAAGCATGAAACTGATGTCGAATTGGCAGCCAACAGCCGAAAAACTCCTGCAGAATTTAGTATTTGTAGTTACTGCGCCGGTGGAGCCACTGTCGACAGCCTGCAAACCAAGCCAACATACACAATTAACAGAAGAAAGCAAGTAGCAGACATCACAGCCAATTCATGTATGGGATAGACTTCTTGCTATCATGGTCACATAACTATGCTGCTACAGGAGGAGGATCAATCTTCAAAGTGCCTGCTCCAAGCAGATTCCCACAACAAGCCCCAAAGACTATGATAATAAAAAGTACTCAACCCCGCTGATACGTTGTGGAATCTGTGACATTAAGTTCGGAGAGAACGGCTTATGCTGAAGTGCTCAATGAACATAGTACCTCTAGATGGAGTAACCGAGTGCTTATGTTGAACGCAGAGAACGGCTTCATGACCAATTCACTTCATCATGCCAATCACCACCAAAAGCAATTAACCACGGTTTCTGGCGAACCCTGCAGTGATGATGCGGTTAACCTGTCAACACAAATCAGAACAAGCAATAAGACCATCATGTCAACTCTAAAAACCCCTCGGATAATGTTATGGATAAACCAGCATATCTCTAACCAATCGTGTTCTATTAAAGCATCCAAATTCAGGAAAAGTACGAGACGCAAGTGGGTCGTTACCAGTTCATTACCTTCTTCATGTGATAGCTACAACTTGTGACTTTGGGCCTAAACCAGCTGTTAGCATAAAAAATGGGAACTCAGATAACAAACATGATGGATTACGCCATGGACGTTCACAAAACACTCCATCAAATTGAAGATATACCTCAAAATATGGTTGAACGCAGGCCCGACGTTGTCGCTCGACTCAAGTCTCGTGAAGACGCTGCTGCTCCTCTCGTTGCTCTCCTTCGAAATGCTGTTGCCGCTCATGATTTGAAAACCGATAAACATTGTAATCTTCAAATGATTAATACCAAATCGGTCCTACACAAACAGACGCAATTATACCAGTATAACAACACCCGGTTGAGAAATGGAGAAGCTACATTGAAGTCAAAGTTGAACCGAAACTCAGAATAAATCACACAACCTTCCACACCACACCCCCTGCCCCGTCGTGCAGTATCACATCGGACCTGCAACAACAACAACAAAATATAAATAACCTCATCCTCAAATTCATCCACAAATGCAACCTAATGCTCTAGTTCGGTGTCCTTCTCAGCCTCAATTACAAGATAGTAACATATCCAACATACCACAACTTTTAAAGTCAATGCCTCAACAATGGTCTCAATTACCACAACAATCTCAACAGCAGACCAGAGGATAAACATAGACCAGAGGATAAACATTGAGTTTTGAAGGAAGTTTGTTGCTGAGTATTTTTTCCTAATGCTAAGAAGAAGTGGTGTGTCTCTATGTATGGAAGCAGCAGACAAACAACTGGAGTTTTCCCTCAAGATGTATGCCCTGCGAAATATGTAATCGCAAACCTAACCGTGGGTTTGAAGCAACTGTTGAAGTCCTTCCCAAGCTTTTCAAGATAAAGTATGAAAGTGGCACTCCGGAAGAGCCACTTTATGTTGGCATGCCCCGTGAATACCATAATTCCTATGGCCAGTTTGTTCTAGACTATGCAAAAGCAATACGAGAAAGTGTTTTCGAGCAACTTCGTGTTGTTCGTGATGGTCAACTTCGGATAGTTTTTTCTCCAGACTTGAAGATATACCCTTGGGAATTTTATGCTCAATGCCAAGAAGAACTCATCCCCCTGTTCAAGAGAAACTGTCAGTTTTTTTTTCATAGACAAAACAAAAGCTTGAAATGAAGTTCGTAAGTCACGCAGAACCAGAACATTACGCAACATACCAAATCTAGAAAGGAAAGAAGATAACCACATAAAGAAATCCTTCAAATCCAAGCCATCTTCATTCTGGAACGACATATTATGACATGTCAGCACAATTTCGAAGATGACAAATTCAGAAAGAAATCAAGATGAGTCTCCACACAATCTGGCATAATCATATGAAAAAGAGGAATATCTTCAAATATTTATCATTCAAATCCGAAAATGGCAAGTTCGTTTAAACCAGGGAACTCCAAATCGGACAACATCACTCCCTTCCCAAATTTGGAACCAACAGCATTTACCACTCTTAATCATCCCTTGCTTGAAAATGCTATAAGAAAGAGAGTTTCAGAGCCCAAAAAGGGAGGAGATTTTCGCAACAACATGTACCAAACGCAAACGAAAATCCTAACCTTCAAAAAACCCTAAATCATGAAACCCCAAATGAAATTTGTGAAACAGTGAGGAACT